GGTTAATGCTTCCAGCATTCCGTGGTGGTCTCCAGACTGGGATGCATTGTGGCTACTGGTCGATATATTTTGCTGAGGGTTAACACTGGGTTTTTTCCCATCTGGACTAAAACCAGGTTTGTGCCATGCGTGGAAACCCCTGGATCCCTGGGCTGAGCTAAGGGTGCTGGGCTGGGATGTGAATCCTTGGGAATGGTCCCTTTGCCATGCAGACAGTGCTGACTGTCCTTGCATAAACCCTCTTCGGGCTTTGCCCAAGGAACCCCCCTCCTGGCTCTCTCCAGTGGCCCCAGGGGAACCTCCTGCTCTCAGGCTCTGTCCCCTTCTCTTGCATCACCCCTCAGGCTGAGGGTCCCTGGGAGAACTGCATCATCCCCAGTGAGTACTCAGTGCCAAGGGAGGAGGTGGGTGGTGCCAGCAGCTGGTCCTCTTCCAGCTGACAGTGCAGGGACCCCAGCATCATCCCTCCATGCACAGCCCATCTTGGGGACAAAGCGTCCCTTAACTTTGGATCGGGCCAGCTCCTCTTCCCTGAGGCTTCGATGCAAGCAGGGCACAGGTCTGAGCCAAAAGCGTGAGAGACGAAGGGTGCTGAGCCATGACTTGTTAAAATAACCCCTTTGGTGGCAGCGGATGGCCCCGTTGCTCACTGACACTGTGTGCTGCAAATTCCAGAAGGATCCAGGGAGGATGCGCTGGGATGCGATAACGTCCCTTCTGTCAGACCATGCATCCCTTTTCCTTCACTGGTTTGGTTTTCCAGAGGTGGTCGGCTCCTTCCCTCTCTAAAGGGTCACCAAATGGTGAAACCATCCTGCTTGCTCCATGGGGCACGTTTGGGATTGCCCACGTGGGTTCCCAAGGGACCCTCCAGCCCAGGTTTTGGCGGTGGGTACTTAATTTTGGGTGGCTGCACAACCCCAGCAGCGGGACTAAGGGACCCCTCCTCCTCATCTACCAGTTGTCCATGCACTGGCCAAGGTTTAGCTAGTGAGGGTCCATTACACAGCCCCCCAAGCCCCACGGTGCATTCCCCTGGGAAAGGGGCAGACGGAGATGTGCTGCCATTTATTCCCGATGCCGTTTGCATTATCCCTAACGAATGCGCCGCAAATGAATAATCAACACGTTCCTTTGGGCCGCAAAACGTGGCCTCTGCTCCTAAAGCTGTCAAACAGCTCCTCCCTGTTTTTTGGGGGGCCAAAAAGCTGGAATTATGGAAGCACAAGGTACTTGTGTAGCTAACACCCCGGGGCTGTTTGTCAGAGATTTTGTGGGTAACCAGGAATGTTACAACACACGAGCCGGCGATGACTGATCCTCTGTTCATCCTCAGTATTCCCTGGCTCTCCATCCACCGCTGCAGCAGCCACCAAACCCCGGGTTGTTTCCTAACAGCTGATGACAAACGCTGGCTTTGAGATAGTGACCTGGAGAGGAATTTGGTGCTTGATAGGAATAAAAGCTAGAGGAAAGCACAGGGACACGTGGCCCACCCTACTGCTTCTTGGGGCCTGCTAGTTTTTGCCCAAATACCCTATATCAAACCTAAACATCATCTAATTAAGCCAAATATTTCAATCCTAAAAAAAGGAAAAGTAATGTGCGTGGCAGATGGGTTGTAGAGGAGCATCCGATGCCACCAAAGCCCATGTGGTGGTGGGGATGGGATTATGGGAGCTGGCCAGTGGCATCGCCAGGGATGCTGAGGATGCAGGGGTCGCAGCGGCGATGCCGGGGTCCGTGGGCACGCTGCCACATCGCAGAGATCACCTCTCCTGCCTGGGCTTGAGCAATGAGAGAGGAAGCAGGAGCGAGAACAGCGAAGAGGGTTTCCAAATGCCAGACCGAGATGCCTGACCCCGGCATGGTCCAGGTTTTTGGCAGATGTGAGTTTTCCCCCCCCACGTGCTCCTGGGTTCCTCCAGTGAGCAGCTCGCTTGTCCCGGCAAGAAATCAAAAGCCTGGAGTGGCACGTGCTCTCCTCATGCCCCATTCATGCCCTTTTCCTCGGGTCACCCGTAGTGCCCCAAATCCTGTATCATCCCTAGGGACCCGCAGCAGCAGGCAAGCTGCCTTTGCTCTGAGGAATCTGGTGGAAAAGCCCCTGTGGACATGGACACAGGTTCTCGTGGGTCAGACTCAGCCGCAGCCTTCGAGATGCTTCACGTCCCCATGTCACTGCCCTGTGTCGGCTCAGCCTCTCTCCACAAACTCTGTCCCAAGCTGTGAAAGGGCTGGAGGCCAGTGAAACAGGCTGGGTTTGCACTATGCAGTCAAAAAAATCGACTGCATTTTCCCTGCAGTCAAAAAAATACATTATATAGGCAATTTTCCCCTGCCCAGATCACATCTCCTTAAAGATTTGGAGAAAAGGCAGTGAGCTAGAGCCCCAAACCTCTCACGGTGGCAGAAGCAGCCTTGGGGCATCACAGCAGGCACCACCAAACTGCCTCACAGCACCTTCCCAGAGCTCCTTTGCCAGCGGTGAATCCCGTTGCCTGTCCGAAAGCTGCAGGCAAGGGCAGAGGTACAGGCAGGAGGATGGTGATGGGGCACCGAGCATCCAATTCTAGAGGTTTCCCTTGCAGGGAGGAATTATTTTTATGCTTTTTGGCAGGAAAGGTGGCTTTTATTCCCAGTATTGTTTCCCAAATGCCTTTGATTTTTTTTTTCTTTTCAATATTTGACCTGACAAGAATCAAAAGTTTGGACTCGACAGAAGCTCCGGTTCGGAAAGGAGGTATTTGAGGCTTCCTGCCTTGGCAGACTCACAAGCAAAACATGTGGCTTTTGGTCACTTATTTATGACAGTGATGTCACTCCTGACAAGAAAATGAGACTCAGTGCTTCGGGTTGCTAAATCGCCTTGACAACCTCTCCAAAAGTTCCCGTTAGTTTAAGCCAGTTTAAATATTCTCCGATTATTTTTTTTTCCCTCTTTCTGCCTCGAATGCACCCACATCTGTCAGCTTTCCGAAATTTCCCCTCTCTGCCATCCACTGCCTGGAAACTTTCTTCCAGATCCTTTTGTTTTTCCAGTCCCATCGCCTCCCCCAGTCCCTGCTACCTGCAGTGAGTGGGATGCTCTGGCATGGTGAGCGGCGCAAGCCCTGCGCAGCCCTTCTCCTGCCTTGGGGACCTTTGCGCTCCGTGAAGAATTCCTGCTCTTTTTTGGGGGGTTTGTGTTGCTTTTTGTGACCAGCCTGGCTATTTTTGTGCTGCTGAGAGGGACTAAGGCTGCATGATGGGGTCCTAAAGCAAGGAGCTATGGGACTGGTGGTCTGCAACTTGTCCTGGTGTTCGGGGTCCCCAACTTGTCCCTGTGTTCCTGCTCCCCAGAAACCTCTGCCTGGGGCTCTGCAGTGCAAAAACAGGGAAACACTGCAAAAAATCAGAATAAAACCCATCACACCCCCCTTGACACTTGCTCTTCATCCAAGCGATGAAGATGCCTCCACATTACCTGGAATTGAACCTTGCTGGAAATACAAATGCACCCCTCCAAAAGACCCCGTCTTCCAGCCAGGTCCAGGGTGTCACCCTGTCTCGCTGGTGGCACCTGGGGTGGTCCCAGCTCCCCGCAGCCTCCTCCCTCCCCCATCATCTCTCTCAGTGGCCGGTCCTGGCCCCTGTTTCTCCACTGGGTAACAGTTAACTCGGAGGAGGTTTTAATTTGTTTTATAATGTTAAATAAGGTCAATCTACCACAAAATATGCTGGCTCTCATCCCCCCTGTCTCCCTTCCCCCCCCACTTTCTAGAATTTCTTTTTGTAGGATTTTAAAGCTCCTTACCTCAGCTCTCCTTGGCCAGACTCCGTGGTTCTCTGTTTACGGAGCCAGCGTTGCAGATCAGTTCTGAAGAAAAAAAAAAAAAATATCACGTTTATCCCTAACATTCCTACCTAGAAAAACACTTTCCATCCTGAATTTTTCTGCCTGGGAAGCGGCATTCCCAACCTCTCCTGCTGACAACCCCTTTATACCCCTATAAACACCAAACATGATCCTTCTGCGTTTAAAGCCGTCCGGACTGGGGATGCCAGGACTTCTATTTGCAACTGCAGCTACTTTCTGCCCGAAGGTGAACAAAGAGTCGGGATATCCTGGCTATCAGCATCCTTCCCTGCAGCACCATCTCCCCCGTGGTAGCTGGGACATGGGCCGTGCCCCTCCATGCTTAAGCAAATCCGTGGGGAAAATAATACCATAAAAACACCCCCCCGCAGAAGCTGTGCAGCCGTGAAAGGTTTAAATGGGATGCTGGTCGGAGCCAAAGTGTATGTGTCTGGATAAAGAATTGCACTAGGATACTGTGGGCTGATACCTGTTGGCTATGGGACAAGGATCTGCTGGCTATGGGACAGGGACCATGGGATATGGGCCATGGGACGTGGGTCGCTGCAGCATTTTGCACCCTCCCGTAATACAGACAACACAGTGCATGAGATACAGCAGCAATAGTGCGCTTCCCCCTTGCCCCAGGGTCTCTGCCCCCAGCCTATTTCTCCATGGGATGCACTCAAGGGGGCTGTGGGCACAATTTGGGGCAGCTCCTGCACCCATGGATGGACAAAGGGGTATCTCCAGCAGCTCTGAAATGCCCCAGTTCTGGGGAGACTGACCTGACCCCCTTTCTGCACACCCTGCTGCCGGGTCCAGCCCAAAAATCACCCCCTCTGGGTGTCAGCATCTGTCCTCAGGGACATCCCCCTCCAGCGCCACTTCTCCCTAGGAAACCCCCAGCAGCACCAGCTTTGCTCACACGGGAAAAGCAAATCCCGGCTCTGGGACTTGGGCACTGCAAAACCCCCAGAGTCAGCAGGACGTGGCCGGTGGGGGCAGTTGGGATGGGTGATGGGCTCCAGACTCCACACATTTTCTGTGCACCCCCAGCCCGTGGTCCCTGCTGGGGTACGTGGGGACATGGTGTTGGCCATCTCCATGATGAGCAAAAGGTTGCAGAGCAGCATTGACCATCACAGGGGGCTTTGAGGAGATGTCAGAGGGGAGGAGGGTGCTCTCCTCGCCCCTCCCCATGTCCATCCTGGCAGCTCAGGCTTCAGCTGGTGCTGTGGAAGGGGAACGTTGTGCAGCTGTAGCCACTAAACCCTAAATGAACCCGCTTAAAGCTGCAGCCTGGGCTGGCTGTTGCTCCCTGCAGGCTCAGTGCTGGGAAGAGGAGCTTTGGGTGGCTGCAGGTGAGGTGGAGCTTGTGTATTTTGGGTCTTGCAGCCTCCTCTCCATCCTGGCTGGTTGTGGGAATGCTGTGCCACAGACCTGCTGAGATGGAGTAAAACCATCCCTCTCTTGCCAAGGACTCTCCTGGGGCAAGCTGTGATTATGGGGGAGCAGCATTCCCAGGATGGTCGAGGTGGGAGGCATCTAATCCAAGCCCTGCTCAAGCAGGGTCACCTGAAACAGGTTATCCAGGGCTGTGTCCAGGTGGGATTGGAATATCTCCGTGGGTGGAGACTGCAGAGCCTATTGGGGTGACCTGTTCAAGTCGCTGACCACAGTTTAAAAAAAAAAAAAAGTGTTTTCTCTTATAATCTCAGCACTTTGGCTGACAGGATCCTTCTTTTCACTCCCCAGGGTTTAGTGATGCCTTCAACATTGATACCAAGAGGCCCAAAATCATAGCTGGCTCTAAGGAAGCATATTTTGGCTACACAGTGCAGCAGCATGACATCGGGGGGAAGAAATGGTAAGTGAGCTCTGCAACGGGTTCTGGAGGGGAGGGGAACTAAAGCAACCTACCCAAACCCTGGAGTATCTCCTCCTGCTCCCTCTGACCACTGCTTTGGGATGGCCAGTGCTCCAGCTCCAAGGGAAGCCCAGGTTTGCTCTTGGTGATGCTGGTGCCACACCAGCCTGGGCAAAGTAGAGAAGAGAAAACCCTCTTTCCTTCAAAAAGACATTTATGTGTGGGACAACAATATATTCTGTATTTGATAGTGTGTACAGGCTGCTGTGCTCTGGGTCCTGTCTGGCTTCCTCTCCGTGGCAGGTGCCACACACAGGATGTCATTTCAGGCAGGTTCGCAGTTTCCCAGGGGCCCCTTGGCCTCTGATGCTCACTTGGAAACCCATCTGGGTTTTGGGTTGAGGTCATCCCATTTTATATAGTTTCCACCAAAGAGCTGCGGTCTGCAGAAGTGCTCAGACCTGCCTGCGTCTGTCAGGAGTGCAAGATGAAGCTGGGATGGGTTTTTGCTCGGGTTTTGGGTTTCACAGCAGGTTTTGCTCCTCGCCAGGGCTGATCCCCACTGGGGGACCCTGCACAGATGTTGGCAGAGACCCTTGGTGCTCTCCGGGAGCACATCTGGATGCTGCAGTGATGAGGGCAGCTCAAAAGCCCATTCAATTCCCTGCAACTTAATTACTGCAGAGCTGAAGGATCTGCCCTGCGGATGGACAACAGCCAGGCTTAAGGCAGCAAGCAAATGTGTAATTAATGCAGTAGATAGCCCTGAAATTCATAAATTGGACCTGTGTTGCCTTTGCTGGGGCTGATGGGGTGCATGGTGCCGGATCCTGTCCTGTGTCCTCAAGCCAAGCTGATGTTTTCCTGCAAGGAGTAGCAGGAGGTTTGGCTTCAACCTCAGCCTCCCCAGCTGCCGTCAGCACGCCTGAAACCCCCGTTGCCGCTTCCCTTCTGTTTACTGGAGGGTCAGGGCCAGCTGTGCAGGCATGCTGTGGTGAGCCTTTCCACTGGCTCCTGGTCGTGGTTTTCCACAAGGATTGTGTGCTTTTCCTAAATAGTGCTGTGCACCTAGTTAATGGGGTGATGCTGATGCTGCACTGGGGCTGTGGGAGCCATCCGAGCTCCGGTGGTCCCAGCCACATCCCAGGGAGCTGTTTGCAATTGAATCCTGTCATGTTTCAACTCTTTCAGTCACCATCTCCTTCTGCCATCCAACGGAAACCTGTGTTAATATTCATAAAGCTTTGAATGGTAGGATAAGGTTCAGCTTTCCGCTGGGAACGTAGGCTCTGGGATGGGCTGGGAAGGGAGAGGGCTGCCTGGAGTGCAGCCCGTGAAGCTGCCTCTGCCCCGTTGCAGAGACGGGTCCTGAGCCGGTATTTTAGCACCCAGCATCCCCTCGGAAGTTCAGGCGCTCACATCTGCACAGCAGCGATGGGCTCTTCCACTGCTTCAGCTCAGGACAGAGCTCAGGGCTGCTTGCAGCCAGGCTAAGTCTCCCAAGAAGAGTTCCCATGCTGGGTACCTGGGCATCCCTGTGGTCCCTGAGCCAGGTCTGCATGCAGCAGCTGGAGAGCTTCCTCCTGGAGCTGACCCTGCCTGGGGTTGTGTTGGTAACTGAGTGATCTCTCAGGATCCTTTTCATCCTCACTGTCCATGAACCTGAGTGACAGGACTGCTTCCCAATCGGCTAGCTTACACTCAACAAGCCAGAAGCCAGAAACATGTGGCATGGGATGCAGCCTTTCACCCTCTCTTTTCTTGAGAATGTGGATGTTTACCCAAATAAATGTGTTTTTTTAGGGGGAGGTAAAGAATTTTGGGCAGCCTGACAGCACAACTGTTTGTGGCCAAAGCCAGCGGAGCACGTCATAAACGTGGTTTTCAAGTAGTTTCATTATTTTTTTTTTATTCCTGCAACATCCCCTGCTTGACACCTGGGTGGGGGCAGATGATGTTGCTCTGCTTCCACCCTCATCTCCCTCCATGTAATGCTGGATCACACCTGAGTGGCGCCATGTGCTTAATTTCTGCGGGAATCTCCGCCCAGCCTGGTGTCTCCATCCCTCTCCTGCTCCTGGGCATGTCTGCAGGATGGGGACCATGCTCTTTAGGTCAGTTGATCTGATGCTTCAAGAGCATGTGAGCTCTTCACTTGCACAAACCTCTGCTGTGAAATATTTTCTGGGAGTGGATCCAAAACACCAAAAATTTGATGGTATTTGCGCTGGCCCGTGCCAGAGGCTCTGGATCCACAGAGGTGTCTGCTGGGTGGGGGTTAAGCCCAGGAAAGGCTGTTCAGAGAGCATGGTTCTCCAAAGCAGATAAGGAACAGGAACTGAGTGTCTCTGCCATCACATTCCTCCTTGTCTTTGCTTCTGGACAATATCTTTTCCATATTTCTTTTCATCCTAAAAATGCCAAAAATCTCCCCTTGGAGGGGAGCGGTCTAACTGGGTGCAAATGGCACCCAGCTGCCCTGTTCCAAGGTGCTCATGTGCCATCGTGCTCCTCAAATGACCAAAGGACATCCATGGGTGCAGGTGGTGGGATGCCCTCCTGGGGCTGCAGCTGAGCCTTGGTCCCAAAGAAGGGCAGGAGATGCAGGGCAGGGATGCTCCATGCCTGTCCCATCCCTCAGCCCACCTTGCAGAGGTGCTGGCCAAAGTATTTGGGACATCTGCAATCCCTTCCTGCATCCTGGGGGTTTGGTTTCCCTGCCAGGTGCAGACAGCAGCAGTGGCTAAGCCGTTGGGTGTTCAGCCCCTGCGTGGGCTGGTTTTGTTGATCTGCGGAGATTTCTGCCCAAAGTGAGCTCTGAGGGAGAAGCCCAGCAGAGATGGGTAGAAAACACCCTTGTGTGGAATATTTTCAGCACAATTGTAGCTATAGGTGTTGGTTTAGGCATGATCCTGGCAGAGGGACTGCGATTCCCATGCCATTTGGGGTGTTTTATGCCTTTTTCTCAAGCCTCTGACCTGCCACCATCACTGATGGGGTGGTCAATCGTTGGCTTCCATGGGGACAGGCAAAGGGAGGATTTTGCCTCCTTTCCCAGCAGGATACTGGAGCAAAGACCAGTTCTGGCTCGTTTTGGCTGTTGTCATAGCTCTCCTGCCAACATCAGGCAGGACACAGCTGTAGTTTTCTCCTCTGTTGGTTCCTCTGCATGAAAAAAAGGGATGTTCTCCGCACAGAGTGAGCGTAGGTATATACATAAGTACAGTGTGTATTTGAATATGCAATTATGTAGTATAAAATGTCTATTAAATATGTGTACACAGTTAAAAAATGAAGCCAGCATGACTCATTCTGGTTAAAGGATAAATGACTGAGCAAACAAAACATCTATAGTATAAACCAAGGACGTACAGAGAGAGCAGGATGATAATTGCGCCGAGCCTCGGCCAACCCCGGGAGCTGGCAGGAGAAATGGAGATGCAAAGATGAAGCCCCAGTTGCTGGTAAGGCAGAAGCCAGACGATCATCCTTCAATACCATTCCAGAGGAGTTCAGCCAAATCCCCTGAAACGCAGAAGGGCTCCGAGAAAGGCAGCGGTTATCTCAGAAGCGGGGTTCGTATGGGAGCGATGGTTATAGCAACGTGCGGAGACTTGGCTGCCAAATACCAGATGTGGAATCTGAGGACTTTGGCACCTATCCTTCAGTCTGAGTCTCTTAATGCTGCTGTTGGCTCGTGTGGGTGGGTTTAGAAGGGTTTCAAAGCAGCTTTTTCTATATATATATGTAGGTATGTGCGTAGAGGCTTATTTGCGTGTATACAAACTTACCTACAAAAATCTGTAGGTGAATTTTCTGTTGTGATTTTCCCCTTTTTCTAACCTTTCAGGGAAGGAGCCAGGCTATTTGCAGATGGGGGCTGTAACTGCAACCCTGATAGTGGAAAATCTGGGAGGATAGAATTCACATTATTAAACTCCAGGGGGAAAAAATATGCTTGGATGTATACTGCTCAAATAGCTCATCCACTTGTGGGGTGGCTTTTCTCTGCTCACTGTCTTCCACAGCAGCGAGTAGCTTTCAGACCTCCTTCTCAACACTTTCTCACCCTTTTTCATTAAGCAGAAGGTGCAATCTGAGCACCTTCTCCAAGTATGTGAATGGAAAGTATTACAACAGGCTACCAAAACTCATCCTAATGTGCAGTTTAGCTTCGTGCAGCAGCAGTCTGGCAGCATTCCCAGCGCAGGCAGGGCAAGCAGTGCCCAGCGTTACAGGGTCTGAGCATCCCCAGTCCCCAGGGCTGGACATCTCCAGTGAAATGGGATCTCCCTGTGCTGCTGTGCTTGGGGTAAAGTGGCCTGGCAGGAGTTTTGGTTGAAGGAGAAGGCGTTACTGCAAGGGTAGGGATGATCGTGGTGTTGACTTGGCCTGGAGCTGCTCCTGGGTCCAAGTCACCCTTCGGTTTATGCCACTTTGGGTGTGTTTAAGGTGTGAATTGCATGAGCTCAGGAAGGTTTGTCGCTGTGGATGGATTTATTTGGGCAAGATAAGTGTGTTCAAGCATGCAAGGAACTTCCACGATTGCGTATGGGATGTATGTCCCTCAAATGTAGAAGGTCTCATCCCCGTGTGCGCTCTTCTCACGCTACACGTGGTGGTTTGTGGCAAACCTAAACTTGAATCACCTTGAGTTTGGGGAGAAAATGTTCTTAGAGGTCCAAAAATCAGGTGGAAAAAGGGAAAAAAGTTCCCTTCACCTTTCATCTTCCCTCTCCCAATTGCTTTTCTTGACTGCTCCCCATCATCCGCTAAGTAGGAACTGTGTCCCTCCCTAAGGAAGGATAAAAGGACCCATTTCCTGCTCCACACACAGGAGTCACGCCAACCACCACCCTCAGCTTTCCAAAGCCACTGGACACCCCAGTACAGAAGTGGGAGCGGGGCCCAGGGGCTGGGTTGTGCCCCACAGGGCAGGTAGCAGGGGAGTGCCGGGACTGCTGTCCCACACAGGTTTGTGTCTGTGGATTGAAAGTTTC